TCCCTCAGCTCTTCAGCTCAAGGCTAGCACTCTACCACTTGAGCCACAGTGCCACTTCTGGCTTTTTCTGCTTATGTGGTGCTAAGGAATCGAAACCAGGACCTCATGCATGGAAGGCGAGCACTCTACCACTGAGCCACCTTCCCAGCTTGATCATGTCAATTTTTAAATGCTCTGAGGCCAATGGTTTTACAATGGCAATAAAATGGGCTTGTGCAGAAGTTGCATATTTTGCGATAAACCAGGAGCTCTTCTTCTTTACAATCAATCTTAGTGCTCCTATTTGTGTAGATCATACTTCATGTCATTACTTTTCTTTGCCTTTCCTTGCCTTGCCTTGCTTTGCTTTTCTCTGCTTTGCCTTTCCCTGACTTTCCCTTTCCTTCCCTTTCCCCTTTCCTTCTCTTCTTTCTTTTTATTTTTGTGTGCGCCAGTACTGGGGCATGAATCTAGGACCTCATTCTCTCATTCCGCTTCTTCAGTCATGGTTGGGGCAGTGAGGGTGAGAAGCCCTGATTTGTAGCAGTTGCCAATGCCTGTGGTGTAAACACTTCCACTTGGGCTGATTTCAAGCTATTCATATACCAGCTTTGCCTGAGGCTCGGGAAGAGAAGCCCATGAGAAGCTCTCTAGAGCCAGCTGGCAGCCCTATATAAAGTTCTCAGGGAATCTGACCTCCAGTTCCCAGAGGGCAGGGGAGGGGGACAAGAACCAAGCCCCAGGAAGTTGTTTCTCCTCCCCACAGATCCTGCAGGAGATCTTCCAAACGGAAATGACCATCGAGTCCATTAAGAAGGCCATCAAGGAGAAGTCGGCTTTCCTGAAGGTGGCTCACACCAGGCTAGATGAGCGTACCAGGAGGCCCAACATAGAGTTGTGCCGAGACATGGCTCAGTTACGGTAAAGCACTCTGTGGGGAAAAGCTGGGGCTGGCATCAAACTGGCTGCTCCAACACCTCCTGTAGGAACCTTCGTTTAAGCATTTTTATTGTTAGTATAAAGATGATGTACAGAGAGATTACAGTTGTGTAAGTCAGGTAATGAGGACATTTCTTTTTGGACAATGTCACCTTTGCTCTTTCGAAGTTTTTTCCCTCCTGTCCACACCAACAAGTTGTATAGTTCATTTTTAACTTAATGTCTAGCGAGTATCCCTGCTGCATTTGTTCACCCTCTGTCCCTCCATTTGCCTCCTCCCTTACACTCCCAAAGACAGATATACAAGCAAACAAGACAAAAAGAAAAGAACATGAAGATAGCAACAATGAAAAACCATTTCCTGGAGTTCATTCCAATACATATTATTTTGTCTGATGAGAGGCATGAAGGCATTGCACCTTTACGTTTTATTATTAACATCAATTAGTTGTACAATTAGTTGCTTCATTTGATTATGTTCATATAATGTACCTTGATCAAACTCCCCCCCTCCAGATCTCGCTCCTTCCCCAAAGCAATCTCAGAAAGCTTCATTGTTGTGTTTTCACATGCACACAGAGAATATTCATTCTCTTTCACCCTCTCCACTCTCCCTCCCCTTCCCCATGAGCATCTCCCCCCCACCCCAGATATGGCCTGCTTTGCATTCCTGCCCTCCTTTAGAAGTGCTGATGGAGGAGAGTGGGTTGCTGTGGAGTGGGTTAAAGTTTCAGGTTGAGATGATGGAGCCACTGTGGAGACAGGAGATAGTGATGGCCGGCTGACAGTGAGCAAGTATTTAACACCACTGAACTAATTGCACACTTAACAATAGTTAATGTATGTATGTAATGTAATGAAGTGTATTTCACCAGGGATCAGTAAACATTGAGCTCATTCAGAGATGTTCAAGGTGGCTTGTGTGTTTCCATGCACTTCCTGGCAGACACTGGAGTTGAGGGCTTCTGAAACACCTCCCTCATAAGGAGCAGAGTTAGTTGGGGTTCTGTGTATCTCCATGTGGGACTTACCAGAAGAAGAACTTGCGGTATCAATGCCACCGGCCTCCCTGCCCACACTTGCAGCCTGTGGTCTCTTGTAGCCTGCCATATTCACTACCCCTATAGGTCTCCTTTACATTTGTTTCAATATGTTTTATTCTTAGAAAGTAAAGTAGCTGCTCAGTTCTTCCACACTTAGTGGGAGGAATCTGATTCCACAGTTTTTAATTATGAAATACTATACACCTTTTGTTATTATTATTATCTAAAAGGTTCCTATGAGGAGGGACTCCTCTGGGTCAGGATTTTTCCCTTCCATCCCAGCCACACCCTGGCTTTCTTTCCTTGGTACCTGCCATTCTGCTGCTGCTGCTGCATTCCATCATATTGACTCTTAAGTTATGAGATGATGCTCCTTGATGGGAATGAATCAAATCAAGAGCAGGCAGAGAAAACAAAGTGCTTATGGAGGGGCCAGGATCCTAGCCTTCTCTTGGTCTTTAGCACCATGAGTGTTTTATTTTGAAGGTGAAACTATTTTGAGATCTACCAAGGGAGCCAGTGATGTCTTGAGATGGTGGATTTTCTTGTTGTAAGGTCAACAATTGATGATGATGATGATGATAATTATGATGATAATGATGCTTATGATGATGATGATAATGATGATTAGGTTGATGATTGTGATGACAATGATAAAGGCAATGATAGTTATAATAAATGGTTCCCGTTTCTCTATCTTGCTCCATGTAGGGCACTGTCCTTTGCCCTTTGTTACCGTATCTCCTTCAACACTTCCATTTTACAAATAAGGAAAATGTAGGCAGAAGCAAATTGAGTGGCTTTCCTGAGTCACACCTGGTGACAAGAGAGAGCCAGAGTCTGAATCCTTTTGGGTCTCACTGCACATGAAAGCATGTTCAGAAAGAGAAGTTGGGGAGGGGCTGTGAGAGGCCAAAGGTCAAGTTGCCTAACTGAAACCATTTACCTCTGCATCCCTTGAACTCACACTCATTATAAAGTAACCTTTGTATTAGATTTTTTTCCCCCTAAACACATCACAGCTTAAGACAAGCTGAGACCTGCCAATTGGTAGGTTGGTGTACTGAATATATTTCAGATAGGATATTTCCACTTTCCCAAAGGTTTCTCAAGACACTGGCCCCAATTCTCATGAGCTGAGACTTTGTACACACATGCTCTTCATTGTCTGGACTCTCTGGCTTCACATAGCCTAGTGGAACTCTTGTCTAGGCCCCAGGGCTTGTAATCCCAACTATTCAGAGGCAGAGATTAGAAAGATCAGGATTTGTGGACAGCCAGGGGAAAAAAATTCTTAGTAAGACCTCCATCTCAACAACAAAAATGCTGTCTGTGGTCATGCTATCTGTGACCCTAGCTATTGGCGAAGCATAAATACAAGTATGACGCAAAAATGAAAGACTCTACCTGAAACATAAAGCAAAAGAAGGCCAGGTGGCAAGGCTTAACTGGTAGAATACCTGGCCAGTACATTCAGGGTTCTGAGTTCAAATATTTGGAACTGCCTCTCCAAAATACAAAAAGAAAAAAAAGAAAGCAAAGATAGAAATAATTTCCCTAGATTACCATCAGACAAACATAAGTTTTTGTTTTTGTTTTCAGTTAGTTTGTTTTTGCAATTCTGGGCCTTGTGCATGCTATGCAAGTGTTGTATTCTTGCACAATACCCCAGAGAAGGTTTTTCTGGTTGCTGGTGGCTCTCACCTGTAATCCTAGCTTCTCAGGAGGATAAGAACTGACAATCCAACTTCAAAACCAGCCAGAGCAGAAAAGTCCCTGAGATTCTTACTTCCAATTAATCATCAAAAAGCCAGAAATAGAGCTTTTGCTTCAATGGTAGAGTGCTATCCTTGACTGAAAAAGCCAAGTGAGATTATGAGGCCGTGAGTTCAAGCCCCAGTACCTGCAAACACACCTCCAAAAGCAAGTTTTGAGTAGTTGTTTAATATGACTTTGGAGACCTTCACAGCTTCCTCTGAAAGGTGGAATGATTTTTTATTATTTTTCCTCTTTCCTAGCTAAACAGTTTCTTTCTCTTTTACTTCCTGTCGGTACCCTAGTATATCTATTTCCTCTGTTCCTTTAAGGACTTTAGGACAGAGCTCACTTTTGTGTGTCAAGATTTCTTATTAGACTCTCCTTGCCAAAATGATTTAGGATTGTTATCTGGGAAGAGAATTCTTTGCTTTTTCTCAATCTGTCATTCTGAAAGCATTGTGTTGGCTGTTTAGATGAAGAAAGAACCAAGATCATAAAATCAGGGGGATGGGGAAAATTGCTCTTTTCAAGACTTCTATTTTCATTTAAAAGGCTCTCAACGGACTCTTTCTGAACGTGATTCCAAATCTCCCCAGCATATTTGGTGGGAGGCCAAGCCAGGCTCTGCTTCACTTAAATCTTGATACTTAAAAAAAATCTTTAAAAAACCTACGGTAGCTTTATTTGTACTTAAATGCAAATTAAACGTGATTAAGGAAAAAAAGCAAAAAAACAAAAATGAGGCCAGACACCAGTGGTTTATGTTTGTAATCCTAGCTACTCCGGAGGCTGCATTCTTGTTTCATGGTTCATGGTTCTAAGTCAGCCTGTGCAGAAAAGTCCATGAGACTCTTATCTCCAGTTAACCACCAAAAAAAGCCAGAAGTGGAGCTGTAGAAGAGTGACAGCCATGAGTTAAAAAAAATAAAATAAAATAAAAAAAAAACCTATGGGACAGCATCCAGGGTCAGAGTTCAAGTCCCAGTATTGGCACAAACAAAACAAAACAAAAATAAAAGCAACAAACCAACAAACAAAAGAAAACCCAGCAAATCAGTTGTCTATAGTCAGCTCAGAAAAGGCAACTGAAGTAGAAGGAGGCCTTAAGGCTTTTATTATACCTTTTTTAAACATCATTCTTAGAATGTATATACTTTTAAACCCTCATATGTACATTTTTTCCACTAGACTAGTATTTGGCTTTGAGGAGTAGAAACACATATATCACTTTGCTCTTTTCCTGCTTTTGGTTTCCAGGTTCCTTTGGAAGCCAGAGAGGGTGGGAGAGGATCGGCAGGCCAGGGGCCCAGACACTAAACAGCTCACCATCATAAATCCCAGGCCGGCTGTCTAACACAGCCTCCTCCTCAAAGCTATGGCTCTGCTTATAGTGACATTTCATACCCTGAGATCTTTTCAGGGTTGTCTTTTAAATCTGATTTGCTTTAAACAACAACAACAAAATATGTTTTCAGATGAGTTCTTAGATTTCATGTTTATTCTCCTCAAGCCAAGGGAACTTGGGCACAAAAATTTTCATTCCTTCCCTTCCCCATTACAAGGGAGAAAGCAGTAGCTTTTCAGATGGAAAAAGATGCGTGGCCTGGAGATGTTTCCATGGCTTGTATTTTTCATTTTTAAAAATTCTAACAGCTGATGTGGGGCCTATTTGTTTACAGCATTTCTTGGCACAGAGGACTAAATCCAAGGCCTTGTGCAGGCTCAGC